ACATAAATACATAAATACATAAATACATAAATACATAAATACATAAATACATAAATACATAAATACATAAATACATAAATACATAAATACATAAATACATAAATACATAAATACATAAATACATAAATACATAAATACATAAATACATAAATACATAAATACATAAATACATAAATACATAAATAAATAAATAAATAAATAAATAAATAAATAGATAAATGAATACATAGATAAATACATAGATAAATGAATGAATGAATGAATGAATGAATGAATGAATGAATGAATGAATGAATAAATCAATAGATCAATAGATCAATAAATAAAACTGCGAATCTGAGCCGTTTCCCGTCTCGGTTTGGTTTGGTTTTTTTATCATCATTAATGATAATGATGATGATGATGATGATAGTCATATGTATATATATAGATATATACTTTTCGGCCTTGAAGTCCTTTTTTTTGTTTTTTTTTTTCAAGACGAGGAGCAAGAGTCGATTGATTGATTGATTGATTGATTGATTGATTGATTGATTGATTGATTGATTGATTGATTGATTGATTGATTGATTGATTGATTAGCCGACCGAGAGTGTGGCTGAGAGGTAGCTACTGTACCGGTAGTAGTCATAGTGATAGTAATAGTAATACTAATACTAATACTAAGTGAGGATAGACGAATGAATGAACGAACGTCCCTGCTCTACAAGGAGAGATACACACGAGATATCCCGCCGTAGGTAGGTAGCCAGAAGAAGATTAGATACGCGACTCTACTACTACTGTATATTCTATTCAGGTTCACCATGCCTGTTTCCCTGCGAGAAAGAAAGTAGGTCCCGAGGTAGACTCTCACCGTACCGATCACATGGCTCGACGGCGAGGAGGACTCTCTCGTTTCGATCCATTTTTTCGCGTTCGCTGTTTACATGTGAATTTGGATCAGGCGAGAGGGTAGTAGTAGTAGTAGTAGTATTCCTCCGCAGTAGCACTCGGTAACGTCCTGGCGCCCGCCTTGGGCTGGGGACCTACCTCCCTTAGTAGACGGCGACGTGCCAAGTAAATACGAGGTTCTGCCCCCCTTCACAAATACAGAGAAGGAAAAACCACGAAGGGGGAAAAGCCCTCTGATAAGTAGTCCCGTCCGGGTTTCTGATCCCGCGGTAGGGCAGTCCTTATACAGCACCCCCATCCCCCCCCAACAAAGGCATTGCAAGTGTATATGTAGCGTAGCGAAGCTGCTATCGGCTGAGCCCTTCCCTTACGGATAGGATGGATCGCAGAAAATAGAAGTCTTAGTCGAAGGAAGAATCTATTGAGTAAGGCAGTTACGCCGTCGTTATAGCGTAACGCGTGTCGGTGTCGATGAAACTCGAGGCCGGAAGGAGGTCAGCCAGGGGCATGCAGTATGTACTTACCGAATTAAGCGAGAGAGAGAGAGAGAAAGGAGGCCGTTGTTTACACGAGCGGCTCTCAGGATGAAGATTTAATTATTATTACACTTTACTATCGTTAGAAGAGCATCTCGAGAAGAAGAAGTGTCACTCTTGCAAAGAAAAAATCCGGTCCCTATCATGACCGTTACATAATACATAATCATCAAGACCGATAAATCAACAACAAGGAAATCTTTATTTCGCTAGTGAAAAACTTTCGAAAGAAAGAGATAGAGAGAGAGAGAGAGAGAGACTAACTAAAATACAGAGTCCGCCTCACCCTCTAACCAGTCCTGAAGAAACAGAAACAAGACAACGTTTCCAAGCCCCACCAAAGCCATCCCGACCAGATACTCCAACAGCCACCTCAGGTAGCCCAGACCGAGAAAGACCAGCAGCAGCACGGCAATGGCCATGAGACACCCCTGGAACTCTCCCAGGAAGGTCCTGATCGCGGCTTCGTACTCGTACGCGGGGACGGCGGCGGGAGCACGCAGAGCGAAGTGCGTGTCGTCGCCTGGCATGGCTGCGATCTCGGAGTGGTCCTGGTAGTGGCTGTTGATGCTTGGGGCGAGCGGGGACTCGGGGCCGCGGTGGTTGTACACTTTGAATTTCGCGTCGCGGAAGGCCAGGGCGTGGGTGGTGGTGGTGGGGAAATAGGGGCGCGGGCGGAAGCTGCGGAGGGAATCGGTTTCGGGAGCGAGGAAGGCGGTGCAGACGGTGCATGGTGATGTTGGGGTTGACATGTTGAAAATTAGCGTCGTATATATTGTTGCGGGTTTGTTTATTACCTGGTAAGCGAGTATACGTACGTATTGGGACAGTGACGCCGGCGTCAAGGGGAAGAAATGGCGCAAAGCAAGGGAAAGTAAGCAGGGTTTAGTGATTGATGTGAAAAGAATTGTGTATAGAGGAGGCTTTTTTTTTTGGGCGTGCTGGTCATAGGTGCTGATATACAGGCAGTCGTCTTTGTGAGGGTGGAGAACAAAGAGAACTTTACCGAGGACTGCCACAATGGCAATGTTATTGACGGTCAAGGCATCGACAAAGGTATAGGCAGGCTGGGCAAGCGAGCAGAACAGCAACAGAACAGCGTCTTTGGCAGGGCTCTTTTGATGAGAACAATGTAATCATAGAGTCGATTGTCAATTGACAATATGCTCTTTGTTGATCGCTTACAGCTCAAAGGGATTGTGGCTTACCAGAATCCCCACTAGAGAACAGTTTGAAAGACGCAGTATACATACCCATAATAGCCGGCCTCACAACAAACTTGTTCTCGTTCTTGTTTCTCGTCCTACGCGTTGACCGAATCCACTCACAGGACCAGTTCAAACACCATCAACGACAACAACTCCGAATATTCGCACATCACCATGTGCCGATTCACCACCACCCACTTCTCTGCATGCACCCACGTCGAAACTGAGACTCAGACCTGTCACCTCACAAACGTCAACAGGTTCCCGAGAGTCACTCCCTGCTTTCCACAGGACTGCAGGCCAACGACACTGGTCGGTCAGTGTTTCGACTGCAGGTCAGGCTACCTGACACACGATCTTGGGTCCCGACGGGCACCCACATACCAGAAGACATACACTGGACCGGCTCCGCGTATCTTCGGCTGGGACAACCAGGATGACCAGAACGAAGAAAGATGGGAGCCTAGAAAGCAGAAAAGGAATACGCTGAGAGATCGCCAGCTCAACCGAGTCCCAGGAGAGGGTTTTGCTGCAGGATATGCCAGACTGGACCTGCCGAATCAGAGACTTTATGTCCCAGAGAGGAAGGCAACAGCTGATGATGCAGCCAGACAGGCAATCAGGGATGCAACCAGGGATTTAACACGGGATATCCTGAGCCGAGGAATCACAACGAGAGATGAGGGATGGAGTGGCAGGTCCGGAAATCGACATCCCGATCTGCCAACTAGGACGACGGTTACAGACTCACTCGGAGACTCTGCACGCCCTGCTGCTCCGACACCACCTCGAGTCGAAGAGCCTGAGACCATAGCTCAACAACCATGGGTCGACGACAGACTCCACAAGCTCAAGAACCAGCAACGCATAGAACGCGTGAGAGAGGGCGCGCAAGACGCGAGAACACCACAGAATACCAATATACCCTCGGAAATCAGACGAATGCCTCTCTCATTCAGGGCCGCAGAACATATCCGACGACAAGCTGATCGCAAGGAGGAAGCCACGCAGGCGTGGTCGAAGAGGCAGCCGGAATGGACTCAACACAAACTGCTGGTCCACACAGAGAGCAAGGAACTGTTCTTGCCCACCATCACGCCATCAGACGTCGAGAAAAGAAGACAGGCCGATCGGACATGGAAGAAAGCAGAGACTGCAGTTGATGACGAGAGCAGGAGAAAGGCGGCCGAGCTCTGGGCTAACTTGCTAAAGAGTGAGCAGCAGCTGGTCCACTCCAAGAGCAAGGAGCTGTTCCTGCCCACAGCAGTCGCAGCACTCGCTGTACCAGAGGCTGAGCGAAGGAGAGAGGCCACAGAGGCCTGGGAAAACATGCTGAAAGATCAGCAGCGCCAGCTTGTCATTAAGCATTCAGCAAGCAAAGAGCTTTTCCTCCCCAGCACTCCGAGGGCACAAGACTACTCGGAGCGGACCAGGGAAGCCACAGCAGCTTGGGAGAACACCGAGCGATCATGGGCCAGTCACCGCCCCATGATCCACACCGTAAGCAAGGAGCTCTTCCTCACAATGACACCCACTCATACCCACAACCTCTCCGAGATGAAGGACGCCTCTGAACTCTCGAGAATCTCGATGATGTTTGAGACCGCCTTCGCCACCGCCGCAACAACCACGCGAGCAGACACTGGAAAGCTCGAAGCGCAGCTGGATGTGAACTCGCGTCGCGGCACATTACATGAGGGTAGTGAGATGATAGAGGTGAAGTATGTGTACGAATTACCGAACGTGGAGCAACTCCCGATGATGACCTTCGACGGCACGTGCCTCGAGATAGTCACGTGCGCTTCGGAGTGCAAGAGCTGAAGAAGAACACGGAACACAGTGCCGTAAAATAGAGGAAGTGAGAACACTGAAAATGCGGAAGAAATGAATGATGGGCCGAAATAGTGCTTTGTGTTTCGTCTTCTTCGAGCGAGCATATTTTCTCCTGTGATTTTAGCGGATTGCCATTTTTTGTATTTTTTGCATACATGCGCACAGGTGGAAATAGTCTTTTGACTTAGATGGATAACAAATAGATACATCTTTTACATGGGAAAGCCAGAATGCCGATGCTCGCCAAACGCCCTTCCAAAATGTGACTGTGCCTGTGAACTCATCTTCGCTTTTCTGCAGCAGCATCAATTTGCAAAGGAACAGGATCACTCGTCCGGAGCCACTCGCCGTTGAATGCGTTGATCAGCCAGTTGTTTAGTTCTACAGTCTGTTAGATTGATCCGGAGAGATAGCAAGGTCACAACTTACTGTCATAAACGATCCTGTTAGCATTGTGAAAATATATTCCGTGGTCACTGTCCGGGAAGACATGAACATCATAATTCTCCACCCTAGCAACGTCCAGCTTATCCAAAAGCGTGAGAGTATTTTGCATATGAACATTGTCGTCTGCAACTCCATGCATGACCAAGAACCTGACATTTTGCTGTAGGGCGGTCATGTTGCTGATCGTTGCGTTCTTATATCCTTCCGGGTTGTGCTGAGGTGTGTGCATATACCGTTCCGTGTAAATGGAGTCGTAGAATTCCCAGTCGGTCACAGGAGCAACAGCCATGCCATACGAGAATGTCTGGCCCGCATCTTGTTCCAGAGTCTTCAAAGTCATAAATCCACCATACGACCATCCCCAGATCGCAATCCTTGAGGCATCAACATACTTCTTCGCTGCCCAAATCTTGGCAGTCTCGATCTGGTCGCGAGCTTCCCAGTATCCGAGGTTGCCACGAATAATTACGCGAGCCTGTCGTCCGATAAACCCAGTGCCACGGCCATCCACAGTGACAACGATGTAGCCGAGATTCGCGGCAATATAAGATTGAAAGTCGACGCCAAAACGCTTCGTGACCGTTTGTGATCCAGGACCGCCATATAGATGGAAAAGAACAGGATACTTTTTATTTTCGTTGAAGTGAGGCGGTCTTCTCTCCACGACATTCAAGTCGAAGCCATCGATGTTCACAGTCGAATATATTAGGTGTGGGAGCTCGTACTTCTTGGCCATTTCAGCAAGTTCAGAGTTTGTTGAGATACTTTTCTCGTAGTGATCAGAGTTGCTAGGCGTGCTGATGACTTTCTGCCATGGAATGTCTGGACCGTTGTAGGTTATGAGAGCGTACCCTGCACCACTGGAAAAAGATGCAGTATAATAGCCCTCTTTGCTCGTATCAGTGAGAGGTTGGAGATTACTCCCATTCAAGAAGACACTGTACACATGACGTTGAATGGATGACTCCTTGGTTGCAACAAAATACACCAGATTCTTCTTCAGGTCCACCGCTGATGGAGCTTCAACCACCTCCCAGTTGCCAGAAGTCAACAGGGTCGGAACCGGGTTATCCAACGGACTGAAGTATCCAAGATGATCATAATTGTTGTGAATGACAGTATCGATATACCCGGCTTCTGGGCGGCCATTGCTTGGGTCTGCAGGAATGTATCTGGTCTTTTGAGACACCTCAAACCATCCCCCGTCCTCCGATTGAATATCTTCATTTCGTACAGTTTTCCCGGATCTCTCAGCGACATCAACGAGAACAACTCGGAGTACGTCACTCTCTCTGTTTGTTTCCCGGATCAAAGCCTTCGAACCGGCCCAGATCACTTCGGTGATGAGGAGATCGTCTGCTGCAAATGACCCAGCAACCTCGATTCCGAAAACCTCTCCTTTCTCGACATCGTAAAATTGTAGCGCCACAGACGGGTTGGGGGCACCAGACTTTGGATACTTGATTTCGCGAACCTCCGGATAGTTTTCCTCGCCAGGTTGTGGTTGTACCCCACTTGGCCGGGACAAAAAATATTGGATGGGATATTCGGGAACTTCGGACTCGTTCGTTCGCAAGAAAGCAACATATTTTCCATCCTCAGCCCACCATGTGGCGCTGTTCCCAGCAAATACTTCCTCCTCGTACACCCAGTCGGGAACTCCGTAGAAGAAATTCGGTCCGCCATCTTTTGTTATTTGCGTGACCGTCTTCGAAGATAACTTTCTGATATAGAGGTTGTTTTCTCTAGTGAAGACCACAGCATCGCTCTGAGGACTCCAACTGGCCAGTTGAATTCTGCTATCCGGCTCCGCAGCATCTAAAGCTTCGGCGGTCTGGGTCTCGACATCGAAAATCCAGTATTGGGCGTAAAACGAGTGTCTCCAATTCGACTGAATGCCTGTCGCAAGGAGAAGCTTCTTCAGATCCTTGCTAGGAAACACATTGCCAGTGGTATGTGTTTTACCCCCAACATCAAAGTTCGCGGTCTTCATCAACGTCTTTGTTCCTTGCGGCCCTCCGTCCGCTTCGCTGCCTCTTACATCACTGACCACCAGATAGTCTTTTCCGACAGCATTATGCTCGAGCATCAATCCATCCTCGCCGTTTGCGCCTTCGATCCAACTTATGCCCGCCGTTTTAGGCCCCCATTTTCCGCTCATAACATGATCTAGTGTGACCTTCTTTCCATTACCTGCGGACGGAATCGCCGAGGGATTATGGGGGTTCGAAGAAACATGTCGATACGACTGCCGTGAGAGAAATAGAACGAGGGCCAGCAGCCAGACGCCTATGAATACCCCTCCAACTATCCATAGCAATCGCCGGAATTTCTTGTCCACTGTCTGCTCAGTTGAATTGTGGCTTAGGAATGGACCAGTCTCAAGATCGTAGTCGTCCTTCTCTTCGTCATCGTGCGATGTCGTCGCATGCTCGTCGTCGGCGTATCCTCTCGATTCGCTCCGCGCGCGAAACTTCGGGGTCACCATCGTCTTCCCGTTCCCGTTTGACCCCTTCTCATCAGATGCGTCAACTCGTTCACCGATTCGCTCGAACACCAGGCTTGTCGTCGACGCTGAGGATATGGAATCTTCGGACTTCCTCCTTGCTGGCCCCTGGTCAGGAAGGCGAGTCGTGGTGTCTTCGTTCAGCCCGGCCATGTTCCCGATAAGGGTTTCAAACTCCTGTAAGAGAAGTCGATGCGAGTCGTGGAGCAATTGTGGCCTTTTCTTTTAAAGATATTCAGGGCCTCATCGCACACAATATCCCAGGACAACGAGGGCTTTGAACAAGGAATGTATTGAGAGCTCGATGTAGAGCTTGAGCTGAAGAGTTGCCTTTGTCCCACGACTTGGCGGGCTGACTGACTGCCCGAGTCAAATTGATTTAATGCCGGGTACCCTTGTCAACAACCCCGCCGATCAAAGACGATACCGGTATTCAAGCTCGAGGACGAATCTCAATGCAGCCCGAGATGATGCAGCAAAAGGTGGCAATCCCGAACAATCAAATCTGAACTTCGAGAACGATTCCGGCATGGAATTCTTATGCAAGCTCCAAAAACAAGGCACGTGCTACCCCTATTGCAGCCTTTTTATCATTTCGCCTCAATCAAATCGCTGAGAACTTCATGCTGCCTTTCTTCGGTGTTTAACGGACAAATCAATGCCTGCTATTCCGTTTTTCGGCAATGTTTCATGGCACTCTTATCGTGGGCGTATGTCTCCTATGCATCTTATATTACCTCCAGTTTGTTTGCTATCGCCAGAATTGACCAGGCTACGTCTGTATATGGGATATACTTCGCCACCACCTACTAAACGGCCTCAAAGGTTACATCTCAAATAGTTTTCGCGCTGAGATACACCTTTCTCACTTGAGTCTTCACCTATTTCGTCCTATTTGACATCAAGTTCTCTTGCGACGGCTCCTGCAAACTGTTGCTACAGGTTCGAGCAGCTGCCAGTGCTTTAAGCTTTAGGTGGCCAGCATTTGCGAAGACGACTACCACCCTGCCACTAGTGAAGGTGGGCTTGAGCTTGGGAAATCAAAAACTCCCACAACTGATCATCAGGCATTATTGCGCGGCATATACCGTTAAGATTGTCTCATGCGAAGATCAGGGAATAGGAACTTGTGGCAGAAGGGTAGAAGATTCCCCATGATCGTGCCGGACTAGACGCCTGGCTTGGCTTCAGTGTATGGATGCCTGAGTCTGGCTATGACAGATTATAAGAGCCAAAATCCGGGCTTCAAACCGCAGTTGAACGTACATATTGTTAATTCTCTGTCCAGATAGCCCTCTGCAGATCTGAGCTGTTCCTCGAGTTCGACTCGCTTATGAAGCGAGGGAAGCAATTAGCGCCTGCTTGACTATCGACATTGACAAGAAGGCGCAGTTATTTTATCTGTATACCCTCCATAGCAAACCCTTCCCGTGTGTTTCAATAATTTCTTACAAGGAGGTCTTTTCCAAAAATTTACTCCGTTCTTCGAAGAAAAGACGTGCAAGCCCCGCTCTCGCCTACTTCTCCACAACCACGTAATTCGCGTCTCAAAAAACAAAAATAACATCTGCTTGGCACTTTGATATTACAACAGAGGCTTCCAACTCTTATACACGTCTTGTAAAATGTACGCAAAAAGAAATGTCTGCCCTCGGACGGAATCGAACTATAACTCGCAATTAGTGACGACCTTCTTTCGACTTGCTATAATGACATACCCGGCAACCTCGTCATTACTAGTGACGCGCTCTACCATTGAGCTACGAGGGCTGAGATCAGCTGATTGGATGTCACGATGAGTTTGTGAGGATATATGTTGGAAAAATAAAAATCGGGGCGAGTCTCTAGGTCCCGTAGCTGCTAGGACTTGGGAGACCCACCGAGAGAACAGGATCAAGGTTAGCTAATCTGAAAGGCGGCGAGATAAGCCAACAAAACCGTGCGTAGAAATTTTCAATTCAGTACGCTGAGTAATAATACCCAATATCTTCAAAAACATTCCAGATACCCCAATGTTATCATATGGCGAACAAAGAATGCCGGAATAGTCCTAGAATTTTGCCCAATACTGCGGATTGGTAGCAATCACCAACTGTACTCGCATGGTCACGAGATGGGTTGTTGGAAAGTTACCGCTCTGGAAAAAAAATTAATCCAAGTTATAAACATCACCGTACCCCGCAAGCATCCAATTAGGAGCCCAGCCTCTATAGCTCAGTGGTAGAGCGCAGCACTTGTACTGACATGCTGAGGTCCGTTGTTCAATCCAGCGTGGAGGCATATCATGGGTGGCTCAATCTTTTGCTTTTGCAATTTGTGGCTGGCCACACTGTCAATATTCATGTCGTTTAAATTTTTATCTTTTGCGGTGCTGATAAAGTGGCTGTGGAGAATTTTCTACTTGCCACACTAGCGAGGGCAGTGGAAGCCAGGGCATGAACAAGCAAGCAATGTTTGGATGTTTATTATATACTTCGTCAAACTCCATATCAGTCGCTCGCTCTACCTAGATTCTAAATAACTCAAATGTAAGCTTCAGGCAAATTCAAAAGCAGGAATAGCCTGAAATTTCATCTTCGCCACCGGCTCTAAGTTCCCGTGATCGAAAATGAGAAATTAAATATACTCCTGATTTGTCAAACTCGGGTTTTTGATACGAACCGGATACTTCGGAGGGGTTATTGGACGGAGGCTCTCATCAAAGAAAATTGAATGAGGGGGGTTTTCTCTTCCAAAAAGCGTTTTCAGAAGGCATTGTTTTGTATTCTCACCTATGTAGGAATGCATTTATTTGCTGAACCAATGGATGTTCTGAGAATTACGTACCAGAAGCGGGCGTCTCGCAGATTCCAGCACCACCAGTCTCGCTTACTTTAGCAGGAGCCTCAACGTCGTCTACCCCGGTTGCTGAATCTTTGCGTAGGTGCGTTTCTAAGATCGTGTCACCGATTCTTCCAAAAAGTGGCCGCAACCGGCAGCGATTCGATTCATCAACTGCGATACAAGTACCCGTGAGTTGTGGGATGACTTGTGTCTGGATCTTTACCCCGCGTCTGCAGATAAGTGTGGTTTATTACTTTGATTATCTCCGTGTTCTCAACTTCTCCTTCTCATTTAAGCCGCGACAATGGTCCCCCTTGATCTCTACTGCGAGGCGACTTCCCTCCTGACTCAGATTATCGAGGAAGATAGGGTCAAGTGGTGGAAGAAGAGGAATCTCCGATATCACTATTTGCTTCTATACCCTACATGCATGGGGCTCGAAACTACTAGCGAAATCCACTCTCAGATGATCAACAGCTTCTAATTCATCCCGGCCTGGAACCAATATTTGTGTAATTCCTTTCCATCCGACTACGGCTGCTATCACTGATGCGTGGAAAGAGACATTGGAGAACATTCCATTGATGCGAAGGGGAAGGATGTATGTAGAATCGCCGGACGAATCCTTGGGATGATCAGCAGCTCTTCATACAATCCGGGCGCTATTCTTCCAATACTTAACCGACTGTACCGTGGGTAGCCCACATATTCGGTAGGCATTGGTCGATTCTTATCGGTTCCGTGGTCCAATGTATCGGTGCAGTCATCCAAGGATTCTTGCATCATGGTTAGCATGCCTTCCCCGAGGGTCAATACACTACTAATTATATTCCAAGTTGCAATTTATTTTGTCTTATCGTTGTACGGAAGATTCTTGGCTTAGGAATCGTCTCCTGCATTGTACCACGCTCGGTGATTCTCGAAGAGTTATCGCACACTAAAGAGCGTGCTAATATGATTTCGATGTTCAACGCATCCTGATTTTTCGGCTCTCTCATCGCCTCCTGCATTGTTGTCGAGACCGGCAAGATTCACAGTAGCTGGTCCTGGTAGAACTCATCTCTGCCGCAATGCATACCATCTTTAGTAAAATCACCCTGGTCTTCTAAGTGTTGGATTTCAAGTCCCCATATTCGACCACTGACTGAAATGCCTTAGTTTCCTCTCCGAGAGGCCTCGCTACTATATCAGTACGGACAGGAGAGAAGGAGCATTCGACGTCCTCGAGATATACAATGCGCAAGGAGATCTGGAGTCCGTATGCGTCAAAGCCGAGATGTGCAGATCGAGTCAACTATTCAGATCAAAGCTAAAGTTGCGAAGCAGTCCTGGTGGGATATGGTCAGAACGCCTGGGATGGGACGGCGAACGACTATAGGACTGTTCACTTAATGGTCAAGAAACAGTCATTTCTTTCTACCTGGACAGAATCCTGATCATGATCGGCTACACAGATACGCACACGAAGAAGATGATAAATTTCAGAAACACGGCATGGGGCTTCTTAAACTGCCCAGCTATTGTGCTCTTCTCGCCGCGGTTTGAGCATCGGACAATGTTCCTTACTGGAGCATATGGCTTGCTTAAAGCCTTCATAGCTGTGGAGAAGACGACTTATTCCGAGGGTGGAGATTACCGTAGTAGTGGCGAGAAATGTACTGATATCGTGGTTGATGTGGAGGAGGCTGTGCCGGAGAAGAAGTGAGGACTGAACTGGTAGGTGCAGCTCACTTGGGATCATCATCGATCTTGGTCACAGATGAGTATATTATCACATGTTTATAATCCGATTAACTAAGAGTATCAGCAGGAATCCATTAAGTCGTCAAATTAGACCATCTGCTGGTGAGCTTATCGCAGAAACATCCCCAACGCCTCGCAAGATTATGAAACCCCCACCATGATCATATTCTCGTTGTACCCTCGCCCCCAACCCGCTTGACAGCAATGAAATGGTCCCCCAACTGCCATCCAGCATCGATTAAGGACTTAGACGTGTCTATGATCGTAGCTATTGCCGTAAGGATCGCCGATGGTACGAGTGGCGCCAGTATCATGAACACCAGTAGCATGGACACCATTATTGCGAGGGACTTCCTTGCCAACCACCCCGGTGTTCTTTCTTGCGCGACGACGGTCCTTGACAATGTGGTAGACAGCAGTAGCTGCATGCAAGAGTCTGTTATACTGATCAGCCTCTAATCTCTCGCGCCAATACCCGGTACGGGTGAACTTACGTGCTCAAGATCGCCAGGAAGAATGTTCCCCAAGGCAACTCGCAATTGACCTTACTTGGGTGTCTCCAAGCATGGCCTTCCGAGAATGTCCAGTATAATGGAGTGCAAGGTCCGCTCGATCCATGGCGGCCCGGGCTCGTCAGGACAGCAACAGCGATGAAGCCTCCAACGAACAGAACATCCAAGACGATGAAGAGCATGCGAAGCATGTTAGAGCCGGTGCCTTTGATGACGAAGGTGAGGGCCATGGCGACAAGGGTGTAGAGGACCGCGGCAGCGAGAATGCCTTCGACGGCTCCGTTGGAGTGTGTGGCGCGCTTGGTGAGTCGGATGATCTTTGCGAGACGCACGGAGAATAGGATCAGAGAGGTGAACGCGGAGAGGAATTGAAAGAGGCGGAGGAGCCGCTGGAGGAGAGAGGGCTTGGCTTCTCTGGTACCGTCATTGTAGGTCGTGGTGTTCTTGTTGCGGGAACGCATCTTGAAGAGCTGAGTTGATGGGATTTCGAGAGTGTGGAGGTTGTGGGAAATTTCGTCAGGAGAAAGTTTTGCTGGAGGAGAAGGGTGTTTGCTCTGATATAAAAGAAGCGAGATACATACCACGTGACTATACGGGTAAAATCATCGTCATGGCATAGCATCCGAAGTTTACTGCAAACAGGGCCCAATTCAAGTTGGTTTATTGGCATAGCATACCATAAAATTGATGTTTTCCAAGTTGTTCGTTTGCGATTCCCTGATTTTAACATCACACGACAGATCACTTGCATCTGGACGGAATTCTTTCTCCGGGCGGCGGGAGATCGACGAACATTAACATTTGAAATCACACGTTCTGCGTCCGGCAGTCGAGCATATCCCTGGATTCTATAATTGGGCTGAAGGTCGAGATATATGCACGTTTCCGTTGACGAATAATGAATCAGATCGTAGGCTGGAAGAGTTGGCACGCAAACAAGGTTCATGCGATATCTTTGCGATGTCACCTTTCTTTACACCAACAGTACGTCACTAGCTATAGCGGCATAAAACCAGGCAAACTCGTGCTACAATTTTAAGGATTTGAATTCACGGTTTGTACTATTTTAATAGTTTTCACCTCGGAATATTCCTCCCTTGCAATGAAGACGCTATTTGCTTGGCACCAGCTGCAGCATGACAGCGTAACGAGTAGATTCTTTATTCATTAGTTTGACTCGTAGGAAACCAAGCCTTACAGCAATTCGCTCAGCATCCCGAGAGCAAGATTCAAGTAGGTGTACAGGTGAGTCACTTGTATCATATTCTGGCAGCTTCAACTCTCCGAGCCGTAGCTGATTGAGGTTGAACAGGCAGCTTCGCTTGATTCGTCAGATTTATTCCCCGAGGCAATATCGACTTGGCTCTGGGTCGACTGTAGGCTGGAAAGAGTACCTACCTACATTGTGCTATAAGACCGCATTGTATCCTCGCTTACATTTGTCGAAATAAACATAGCACGCACGATAGCAAGGCTCTGGACAAGTCTAACATGGGTGTTGCGGGTAAAGGATCTACGAAAAGCTTCGCCACAGGAGCTCAATTCAAGCTCTTCAAGGCTGGTGATACACATGGCCAGCGCCAGCCAGCAGCCCAAAGCCCAAAGCCCAAAGCCTGCTTTGTTTTCCTCTCCCCTGTCAAGCGAAAAATCCTTGGCAGGGCCGGACCATGGATCACGTGCGAGTAATATCAAATTCGAAAGTCAACTATGACTAGCGACGACGACCACCACCACCACGGCAAAATCCGGACCACATTCGCAATTATACCGCGCTCCTTCTTCCAGACCATGAGTAAATACGTGCGCCAAGATAAATCAGTGCGCAAGCACCCCGTGCCGTCCAGCGCAACATCTCTTCTTCGAGCCCCCGACGTGCCGGCAGCACCAAAAGAAAGACCAGGTTGGAAGGGACCAGGATTCGTGAAGAAGGCCCCGAAAAAGTCTACCAGAGCTGTACAGGCAGTTACCAGAGCAGAGAATATTCAAGAACAGCATCTTGACCCTGCGCTGCAGCAATCGCTACTGAATGTCTTTCGAGCGGCTCTGCCGGTTTGCGAAGACTATGACGCGCTCAAGCCGACGTTGGAAGCGATCCGAGTTTCGGTATCTCAGGGAGATTTTCAAATAGCATTCTCAAAATTAGATTGGCTAGAAGTCTATGCGGTTCGATGGAGTCCCAACCGAGCACTTTGTGTGGCCACTGTCCTTGTAGAGCTTTGCAAAGAGTTCGGAGATGAAGAAGTCTGTTTCAAAAGTCTTCTGAGAGCCCGCGACCAGCATGACACGAAAGGCATCGCCTCTAATATAGGCAGTGCCGAAGAACCATTTCTGAATGCTGTATGTTTTGGGGGAGGGGCCGCTGAGATTATGGCCTTTGCGGCACTTTCTCGTCACATTCTGCCTCAAGCAGCAGCTAGCAAGCCAAAGACTCCAGATCTAGCAGCTGATACAGGACTCGCAACATCCGAACTGGCTACGCCAGCGATCGAACTCCGACTATGTGACCAAGCAGATTGGACACATGTCATATCATCTCTCAAAACAGGGCTGAACACCCCGCCAGTTCTGTCGAAATACGCTAGTCAGGCTGCCAGAGATAAGAACTCCTCCTTCGTTCCTCCAGGAGCTCTACGTACAACCTTTACGCAGAGAGACATACTCCAACTGACCCAGGAAGAGATCAGAGCCCTCGTCGGCTCAAAACCAACACTGATCACGATTTTCTTCACCCTTAACGATCTCCACATCGTCTCCAAGGCCAAGACGGCCAGCTTTCTGATGAAATTAGGTCTCGAAGCGCACAGGGATAGCCTCCTGCTGATAATTGACAACTCCATGGAAGCCGAGAAGGTCGGTGACCAACACGGCAAGAAGTGGTCAACGTTTAAAAACCTTTTGGACCTAGTCATCATGGATAAGAAAGTGTCGTTGTGGGAAGAGCTAGTGAGAGACAGCAACAGAGCTTTTAAGCTGGAAAGGGGACTCAAATTCCCGATTAGTTTGGAGAATCAGAAAATCCAACTGCACCTGTTTAAATCGTTGCCGAGGTAGCAGCCAGCATCTTTCGGGTTGACTCGCGCGAGTAGTGGATGCAGCAAAAGAGCATGAACTGCAACGACGGGAATCATGGTAAGAGAAAGTTCAATACTGCACATGAATTCCTCCCAGGTTGTTTTAACTGAAATCGGTTTCGATATCTACGGATGCTAACAGTTGATTGTTCAGGATGGTAGGTATCTCAGACAATAGGCCGAATCGCCTTCCTCTCAGCCCAGCTCACTTTCGAGCCTTGCATCAATCAGTGTAAAGAAAGTAAAGACAAACTGCTCAGTGAACCATCCACCAAGTCGGCGACCAGTCTGGAGAAAGTCCAACTGCATGCATCGCCTCCTTCCTTCCTTCCTTCCGGCACCTGCAAAAGTATCCTCCATGGGTTTCTGGTTTTGGCTAGCATGGACTGATATGCCGCGCCGAAGTAGCCACCCACAGCGAATTCTTGCAATGGAAACAAACAAGGCTCACCGGATTTTCACCTGGCTCAAAGCTTCAAATGTCGATTTTGGCTAATCTTGGGGGCGGTCACGTATGTGAAGTAAATATTAGATCCTTTAAATAGAGAAGGTGCGAGTGAGGAGATGAACGGGTTTCGAATTTACGTCTTGTCGAGCGTGATTTGCTCGAACGTGGCCGATGAGTGATCCCCATGCCCTTCTTCATAGAGGAAGGAAGATATACTACTGCCCAACGCAGAGAGAGATGCGCTGGAGATGGAAGCCATACCAAACGTGGACCCCAGATAAAACGAAACTCGATGAGTAACGAAGTCGGATGGATGGATTACTATTCATTCCAAATCTTGGTACTTGCCACTATTCTCGACTTCAAATCTGATAATAGGGTGGATGATATTGACGATTCGGATTATCTTCCAGGGTATCGTGACGTTTGATCTTTTAATTTTACAGAAACTGCGCTTTATCTGTCCTCGTCCAACGCCGGTGATATTTTTTTCCCAGCTGATATCTCAAATACCTTCGCCATCGTTACGTCCCCAGAGCTTGACCGTCCGATCATACCCACCACTAACGATCCATTTCGCATCTCTCGTAACATCTACGCTGTGAATGTTACCAGTATGCCCAGTCAAGCTCTGCACCTGCGACCAGTCATCCGCCGAGAAGATCTTGACCGTCTTGTCGAAACCACTAGATACAACGAACGTGCCGGACTTCTTGGGTATTTGAGTCCCTTGTTCATCTAGCTGGGGAATGAAACCTCGAGCAGGATCGTCGTTTCCTTTGAACCATCTCAGGTCCGAGACCATTTTGTGAGCACCGATTCCGCCGGATGGCTGTACCTTTCGGACATCCCAGCATTTAATCCAGCCGTCTTCAGAGCCGGAGAGAACGCGGTGGCCGTCAACGCCCCAGTCTAGTGCGTAGATTGGTTTGATGTGACCTTCCAGGATCATGACTGTTCGTCCTGTTCGTAGATCCCAAATGCGGCCTATACTGTCTGTACCGGCACTAGCTAGGAGAGAACCATCAGTGTTGAACGCGATAGCGAAAACACCTCTAGAGTGGCCTTCTTGAAGTAACAGTTCCGTTGTAGTCTCCACGTCCCAGAGTCGCCATGTCGTATCCTCCGATGCTGACGCTAGAAATTTCCCAGAGGGATGAAATTCTACTCGGCACACTCGCTGATTGTGACCTTCGAGTGTTGAGATGGGAGTGTCCTGAGTCATTGACCAGAGATGGACTTTGCCTTCTGCACCACCCGAGGCAAGATTGATAGAGTTCTCCGAGACCGTTGTACCAGGTAATGTCGCATCAGGAAACCAAGAAATGCCACCGATTCGATCCGTATGCCCTCTTAGCGTCTTGATCTCATTCAAGTCCGGAACGTTCAGCAACTTGATTCCGCCTCCCCAATTTCCAGCAGCAATGATCTCCCCATTCGGCGCAAACCGCGTGATGCTAACTGGTCGATCCCCCGCTGTCTGACTGCCCTGAAGTTCGAACTTTTCGAGCTTCGCCTTGATCTCCTTCCTAAACTTGACGTGTGTCCGCAACGGAATCGTAGATTCGGCCTTCTGACTCGCCAGTCTACTCCTCGCCCTCGGCAAAGAGTATCTCGCAATAGCCTTCCGCGCCACCACCAACTCCGGAATCCCCTTGGTATAAAATTCCTCGTCAGGCGCATCGTCGTCCTCGTCGCCCGCATCCACCATCTTCGAATCGCCCTCGCCATCTTGTCCCCCATCTTCCCTAGCCAAATCTGCCAGCAGCTCCCTCAATCTATCCCTACGATCCCCAGGCCCCTCTCCAAACTCCGTGACGGGCTCCCCCAGCTGTCGTAGCCGCTCTCTCACCCTTTTGTCGTCTGTCGGCACCGCAATAGCAGCCGCCTTCTTCCTCCGATCAATCTGCGACTGAAACGCCGATGCGCGCTCGGGGGCCAGGCCCGGCCCTGCCGAGGGCATATCATAGTCATTGTCAAGGGCTGCAAAGGCGCATTGAGCATGAGAGGGATGGAAGGGTGGATGGAGAGGGCAGGTTACTTACGCACATTGGTAAGATCAATCCCGGTGTCCTGAAAGTTGTCACCAGATCCATCAGCTGCAGGTTTCCTACGTGCGCACGCGGAGACACCTCTGCGATCATATGAATACCGTTTCGGAGCTTGGGGTGTGGACATGGGGGATTTCTGGAGGGGTCGGCTTACCTCTGGTTCTGGCTCCTCCACGTACGCCATACGCGAGGGATGCATGGTGGCGGTCGTCAATATTTTCAAGCTGGAAGAAGCTGGATCAGAGCGGAATGGATGTGAAGAGGACTTTGGTAGGTCTTTGCGGGGAGCGTAGAAAGTCTTGAAGTTGCATCGAGCTTCGCGACGCGAGCTAAAAGTTGTCAAAAGCTCGGATAGGTTTTGCGGGCCTTCAGGCGTCGGGGAAAAGTTGCCAACAGGTTAATCTTTGACTAAAACTTGGACTAAAATTTGTAGTAGATACTGAGAGCTTCGGGCAGTTTTTCTATGTACCTACCAGCGAGGAGTAAAATTAAAGGAGAATTGATAAGATGCATATCACGTGGCCACATAGGTAAGACTTGTCTGAAGTTGTATTTGCTGTGAAGCATTCAATTAATCGCCCTTCTATGTGCGAATATGTGACCGTCCAAACATGTCGTGTGTATCGTAACTATAAGAACGCCTTACTCCGCTGCTACCCAACCATGCCAAACTCCATACAAAAGTGCTAAAGAAAGCAGAATATGTGCATCTATCCAGAGAACGGCTGCGCCCTCTTGGCAGCACCTCCGGCCATGTTGGCCTGGTAGACCTTAACCGAGTTGATCTGCCAGAACGCACTCTCGAAAGCCTGCGGGTTGGCGGCAACGTACGCATCGCAGGTGGGAGCCAGCTTTGAGCACGTCTCGTCGTTGTCCCAGACTCTCCCGGCCCATTGCCCGCAGAACGTGGTGTTGATCACGATCTGATGCTTCTGAAAGTGGCTGTCTATCGAGCATCCGCTTCCACTGAAAGCTGCAACAGGCGGTCCCCAAGTATTCGGGTTTGGGTTCTCAGCTGTAATGTCGGCGGGGATAGCGTCGCGGGTGAAGTGCCAGACCTTAATGGTCGCTGAGGTCCACTCCATAGCGTAGACTCCACCCCCAGCTGCGTTGAAACCCGTGCCAAAGGGGGATTTCGTTGTGAGTGAGCATCCTGCTGTGGCCGGTCCTGCATTGCAATCAGTGGTTGACAGTGTCGATGTGGCGATGGATCCAGTGCTTTCCATATTGCATCCAGGAGAGGTGTGAAGAGTGATCGTATCGGTGGTATCCGTGTTGACGCCTTCAATGATGTCGATCTCTCCATTTGCGGGCCAATCTCCGCCGACAGTCCACATAGCAGGCCAAACCCCGCAAGTTGATTCTGGCATGTGTGCAATATCAGAGATGAAGAGGCCGTGTGTGTAGGTCTTCTTTGACTCGACGCGAGTGGAACCACGGCCTCCAGCTGGATCGACGGTTGTAGAGTCGACGCCGAGGTAGACCCCTTGATCGAGGTATCCCGCAAGTTGACTCGAGTTTGCCGAGGCTGCATTCGAGTAGGCGACGAAGCCGTCTGTTGGGTCTTTATCGGAGAAGAAGTTGAATTCGTTAAAGAAGTTCGTTGCGTTGTATGAATCCTGAATGATGTACTCGGCCTGCGTGACGCCAATCGCGAAAGAAAGTGAGACGCCGAGGCGCATGGTGATGAGTGAAAGTTGCATCTTTGTCCGGCGAAGATGTCTGGTGTTTTAAAAAAAAGTCCGATATTACAGAATAGTCGAAGTATTTGAGAAGTGGTTGAAAGTAGTCGAGTGGTAGAAATGCCTCGAAGATCGAAAAGCAGCAGGAATTATATAGACCACAAGAATCGAACAACAAAGCGCAAGTTGTTTCTTACTATTGTGAAGAACAAGAAAGTATTTTCGTAGGGGAGCTATTATTGTGCCTCCCAAAGTAGAAATTATTTTTATCAAGCGACAATAACAAAGACAAGCGAGGAGTATAGGGAACGACGACAAAAGGAACAACCACAAGAGGAAACAGAGCCGAGAAAGAGTTTTCTTGGGCGGGAACAAGGCATCTCAAATACATTGTTTGTTTCTTTGACCCTCACAGCTCGAGTAACAGATCTGGTCATCTCATAGGCCTCGGTCGGATAAAGACATGGATGCGAGCTCTTCAGAACCATGACGCGGCCTGCCTGTCACCCACAACGGTACAAAGATACCTGAGATGATACGCTCTGACAAAAATGTATGCCATCCAATGAGGCTCCTTGAGAGAGGCCTCATGTAGCGTTTCAACGGGATCGCCAGACGAGTAGCTGCAGATGCAATGCCGGGGAAATAAACTTTAGGCGCACGCACCGAGGAGTCGGGAACTAAGTTAACCATATGATCTCCTGGATAGTATCGAAGCGTGGTTGTGGGAGACCGATATCAGGGGAAGTGGATCCGGATGTTTGGGGTTGTTATGGCTGAAAAGCGAAGGTACTGAGATAGCTCGATGAGAGGTTTCTACTTGGCGAGTCGACTAGGTATGTAAGCGAGCTTGATTAGGCCTTACTCTTGGACCTCGAAACACTCTACCAAACATCAAAGATTTTTGGTCCAATATGGTGTGCACGAGCTGGAATGGACTAGTGTAGCTCTGAAACTGGACATTTTGGTGGGAATATGTTGCGCAGTGGGAAAAGGCCGAAAGTCGATCCATCGAAGACTTACGAAGTAAGTAGTACACCTATGTGCTCGCACTCTTAGAGTAATGTTCTGTTACAATTCCTTGGGGTCTACTGGACTGAAATCATTGTGAATCAGCTTAAATCCTCCGCGAGTTAGCTCTCAAACTTATAACTTGATATTCGAATAGTATATCGGTGTTTCTTACGCTTTCCTCAATATGCTTTGACATGTACCAATTTCACTTCCGCTACACGAAAAATATAATGCTATTTGGGTGTCATAATCCAAAGATATCTCTAAACGTCTTATCTCAATCAAGTTCATCTACTAAACGTTGGAGCCGGTGCCATCACCGGTGCCGGCTTCCAAGCTCATTAAGCGAGTTAGTGCACTATAGTCCAGCCCGGTACGTCGAGACTGCCACCAACAGTTGAATTTAACACAGTAGCATTCTAGATGTATACATGTATATATAAAAATACTTATGTATAAATACGGGCCAAAATTTGGGACGGGGAGTGGCTAAAAAAATGCGGCCTGATTTATGAGGTAATCCAATCCCATGTTTGGTGTCTTTTCGCCAATGTAGGATCCACTTCCCTCCACTCCCGCTCCCCTCCACCTCATCCATCACTTCATCACTTTGCTCCAAAACGTGACGGGTCACGACGACGTCAACACATACTCGGAAGAAGTCATACGGTCGATACTCACGGTGCTAGATGTGGGCACCAAAGCCCTCCTGGCAATCTCTTGCCAGTGCTCACCGGGAAGTGGCAGCATCCAAGATCCCCCCAGAATGGAAGCTCCCCTCCTCAATCACAGACCCCGTTTCTGAGACGTCCACTCAAAAAGTCCTCTCCATCCCACGCACTTGCGGTATTCTCTCGGAGAAAGAGATAGAAATCACCGAAAACTAGTAAGTAGCGTAGCCAGTCCCCCCTCACGCGGGCAAGTCTACTCCCGATGTACACAAGACGAGCAGCTTTTCTTTCTGACATTCCAATCTTCCAGCTCAGCCGTGACGCTTCTTGAACACCTCGCATCTGGGAGGTTCACATCCGTCGAGGTCACAACAGCATTCTGCAAGCGCGCAGCCATCGCCCAACAGCTCGTGTCCTGTCTCACCGAGATATTCTTCTCGGAAGCCCTCTCCCGAGCCAAACAATGCGACGACTATCTCGCCAAAAAAGGGATGACTATGGGCCCCTTACATGGCCTCCCTATAAGCCTCAAAGTACTAATCCTCCCCCCCCTTTTCCTACCCCCCCCCCAACAAAAAACCACATATTAAAGTCAGACGCCCAGGACTCGTTCAACATCACCGGCCAGAAGTCAACCATAGGCTACACATCCTTCACCCTGCATCCGCCTTCTGATACCACCTCACCCCTCGTCACCATTCTCCTCTCCCTCGGCTGCGTCCTGTATGTCAAGACTAACATCCCGCAAACTCTCATGACCGCCGACTCGCACAACAACATCTTCGGCCGGACCCTCAACCCGCACAACCCGTCTCTCACAGCCGGCGGCTCATCTGGTGGCGAAGGCGCGCTCTCCGCTCTCAAGGGCTCGATTCTTGGCGTGGGAACTGACATCGCAGGATCAATCCGCATCCCGGCGTTCTGTAACGGCGTGGTAGGCTTTAAACCGAGCACGCGACGGATCCCGTATGGAGGGCAGACGGTGCCGGGACGGGCTGGTTCTTCTTTTGGGATTCTGGCGAGTGCAGGGCCGATTTGCAGGAGTGTGACGGATGCGGAATTCTTCATGAGATGTGTTTTAAGCGTTGATTGCTGGGAGCTCGATGAGGATGTCTTACCTGTTCCGTGGAGGGTACTACATCCTCCCCCGCTCCACGGACAGGAGGACAACGAGAAGAAGACGGTTTTGAGGCTAGGAGTCCTCCGTGAAGATCCCAAGTTCCCCCTGTTGCCGCCTATGCAGAGAATCCTATCCTCTGCCGTCGAGATACTGGAGAAAGCAGGCCATGTCACGATCCCGCTAGACGAGCTGTTGCCGAAAACGGTATTGAGCGAGGCCCTGCACACAGCGATGCGCGTCTTCTCTTCCGATCCTGACCACACGCCGTTCCGCAACATCTCTGCGTCGGGGGAGCCTATGATCCCGTCGATAGCTGCGACAGTAACGCCCGAGCTGGCTGAGTACGTCCCGACCCTCGACGCAGTGTTCACCAACAACACCCAAATCAAAAGCATCAAGTCCCTCTTCCGCAGCCTCTGGGTACAGCACCGACTCGACGCAATCATCATGCCCGTCTTCCAAAGCCTAGTCCCAGGCCACGACAAGTTCGGAGGGCCGCCATACACCGTCTTGGCGAACCTCCTAGACGTACGTATCGTACCGTACCATCTCTCTCTTCTCCCCTCCTCTCCTCTCCTCTCCTCCCCCCTCCCTCGGCTCCGAAGCCACCAAAGAACTCAAAAGGCTGATCCTCCAACAACAACCCTAGTACCCTTCCTGCGCCATCCCCTTCTCCCCCGCTTCAAACTCCACCGATGCGAATTTCCCACGAGACATGGCATACATACCATCCTGTCAGTGCCCCTTCCCTCTCCTTCCTCCCTTCTGTCTCCTAGCCTCCCAGTCTCCCTACTGTAATATGTCCAATCCATCCATCCGTCTTTCTCTCCCTCGCCATCCCACCTCCCATCTCCCATCCATCCGGAACCCTTGCGATTCGCGAATTGGTTAAGTGTAGAGAGATAGAGAGAGGGAGGAGAGATTTATAGAATCCTCGAAACAGGGTCAGGTCGAAAGACAAGTGATGCTGACGGCACGGGTAGGTGCAGACGACGCACAAGCACGAGCACAAGCACGAGCACAAGCACGAGCACGAGCACCAGCACGAGCACGACCAGCCACAGCCGAAGGCGATAGCGCGGCCCCAGCCGGCCTCCAGATCATGTGCCGGAGCATGAAGGACGAGGAGACGCTAGAGATCACACGTGTCATCGCTGAAATACTGAAGGCTGCTGAGACCAGAGCCCAAATTCAAGCTGGCATCGAAGCCGGAGAGGGAGGAGGGCTAGTAGAGCGTGTCGAGCAGCTCGCTGTTTAAGCGGTCTCATATCTACGGTAAAGTACAGGGGGTGGCAGCATCTCTCATTTCTCACTGCCAGAAACAGAAAAAGGGGGAAAGGAAAAACCCCAGGTAGCAAGCAGGTCTCATTTTTTTCCGACTGAGAATAAATCGTGAAATGGCGTTAAAATTGACATTGTACGTACGTATTGATACATGCACATTTCCCGCCTTCATTCGACTCCGTTGGCAATGCAGACTCGACACGACTAAAATTTACCAGGCGAAGGGATAGGAACAGCAAGAGAAAGAAGAAGAAGTAGAAGAAGAAGAAGAAGAAGAAGAGAGAGAGAAGAGAGAAGAAGAAGAAGAAGGAGAAGAAGAAGAAGAAGAAGAAGAAGAAGAAGAAGAAGAAGAAGAAGAAGAAAAAGAAGAAAAAGAAGAAGGGCAACCCCCCGAAATACAGGCAGAGAAGGTAGTGTGAAAAGCCAAAGCCAAAGCCCAAGCCAAATTCCCAAAGCGAATTCCCAAGACCATTATCCCCAGGCCAATCTATGCAACATACAATATCCGTACATATAGTAACATGAATGTAAGTAAGCAATTAATCATGGTATCAGACGTACGAGACCGTGCTACTTCCAACGCCTGCGTAAACTTTTGAGAAGGACGACGATAGGAGAAGGCTCGCCGTCACAGCATGCAACCCGGCTTCTCTTACAACCTGACCTTCTTCCCCGTAATCTTGAACCAGATGACCGCCACCAGGTCCTCCTTGAACTTCTCCCAAAGCGTGCGGTTCAGGTAGTTGCTCAGCTCACGGAAATTGTACATCTCCCCCCAGCAGTCTCGTCCCCATTCGCAGCCGGCCATGTTGACGACGAAATCACGGTCTTTCTTGTCATAATGAATACGCGTATCGTTGCCATTCTCTGAGCAGGCGCCTGCGGGGAACGAATTGATCTTGCGCTGCGGGATGAAGGCTGTATGAGGGCGGATCCATGGCTGGTTAATGTACAGGAACTCGAGGGCATCTTGCTCTTTGTGCTCCCACTCCATGTGTTTTTGCTCGTAGCCCACAGGGTCCCACCATACGTCCAGCAAGCGGTCGGTCCAGGAGCTACGGCGGATGAAGAAGGAGCCAAGGTTGAAGCCAGAGCAGTCTTGTGGGACGATGAGGTTTATGGAGGAAACCTTGTTGTCACCGACTGGACTGCGGGCGTCTGCATCCAGGTGCTTGGCTTGGAAAGGGTGAGTTATGTTGAGGGGATTGTATTCATTTATATCGCGATAGGTGTTTGCGGCCAGGTTGTTGAAGATATGGGATTGGAGGGAGTAGGAGGGCTCCATAATAAAGGTGTTGAGGTCCATCCACCAGAACCTGTTGATTGTCAATCGTAATGTCAAGGAGGGGGGGGGGGGGGAGGTTGTATGCAGGTCTTGGAAGGGATTTCGACTTACCACTCTGCGTCTGGGTACTTCTTCAGGCAATTTCGAATTGTATCAACTTTCTCCCAACTCTCTCTCCACTCATGGGCGTATCTCTTCTTCGTGCTCATATCTACAATCTCAAGGTCGTATCCCCACTTGGCAGCGTACTTCTTCTTATTGCGTACACTGTCCCGCTCGATTGCCCACTCCCGAGGACCCTTCCACTCCATTACTCCACCGCCTTGATTAGCTGCCAGTATGATAACATGCCTCTTGCCTCCGCCTCCGATGTGCTTTGATCGCCGCCAGTAATATACCGCAGCTGTATTACAACATCAGTACTCCAAATCCGTTTGGCTGCGCGGGCGAGGAAGCTTACGTGTTGAATAGAACAGAATGTATGCGACGATCAGTCCGAGTACCATCAGAATCCGAAGTCTCGTCTTGCGGCTGCTTCTTGTGACAGCATTCCTTATTCGGCCCAACCTGCTCCCATCTCTCGGCATCCACCGTCCTCGGCCTAGCTTTTCCTTCTCTGCATAGCTCTTTTCCCCACTCATGTTGAACCTCGGAAGACTGTTCGAGAAGGACCGCATATGCCTGCTGAAGAAGCCATTGTGCCGAGTTGAGAATGACGGGTAGCCATTGACGCCTTCCGTCTTTGCTTTCGCCGACTCCCATGTCACTGAGGTGAGATCTCCATTGGCACCACGATATGACTGCGATGGGCTGGACCGACCATTGATCTCAACGGGGCTGGTGAGACCTGGGCTAGCCCATCCTCCACCACCCCCGAGCCTGGGAGATGGGCTGCGCGACATGGTATTTGGTAGGTTGGGTGTCCCAGGAATAGTTTCGAGGGTTCGCGAGCCCAAGGCTGCGCTGATTTTCAGCCCCGAGGGTGTGGTCGGTGACGATGCTGATGACCGCCGCCGGTGATGCGTGAAAGAATTGCCTACAGAAGAGGAGAAAGCGGCGGTGGGGTTTAGGGAAGCCAGGTCGATGGTGGAGGTCCAGAGGGTACAAAGACCCGTCTGGCAAGAATCGTTTGTTGTTGGAGAGGTGGTGGGTAGAAAGGTGAAGGGAGCGTGCGTCGGCGCACTTTCTCTTGCTGCCCCGTATTATATGGTATCGTATCTGCACTGTGCAGACAGCACAAATTCGACTAGATTGTGGTCGCGGACCTACCGCCCTTTGCCTCCTTCTCCCCGATCCTGCAGCAAGTCAGTAAGGGGTTGGCTAGAGTGTGGCTGGCTGGCTGGCTGGCTGGCTGGGCTGGCTGGGCTGGCTGGCTGGCTGGGCTTGCTAGCTTTGGCGGGCTCTGTGACCACGATCGGAGCGGGTGCGGGCCGGGATTCTAGGAGAGAGGCTGGTGTCGGATTGGCGTCGAGCTCTATCCGTATAGCGCTGGCTGAGGAGGTCTGACGAAGTCGGAGTTTTTCGCACAATGGTCGTCGTCAACAGAGATGGAGAGAGAGAGAGAGATGGATAGATGTCCAAAAAGCAAGAGAGTTGAGTCAAAGATAGGGGGGGCAAAGTGAAGTCTCCAGTTCTTCTAGCCCACAGGCCAAATCAATTTCCAGTGCCAAGTGCCAAGTGCCAGCCGATGGCTAAGCAGGAACGATTCACCTTGGCCACAAACAGTCTAGCTGCTGACTAGTGAGCCGAGCCTTAAATCAATTGTCAACGCGGGTAAAGGAAGCGAACCAAGGGATTGAATGTCCTATCAGACAGGTCATATATATATACACACATATATATATACACACACACACACACACACACACACACACACACACACATATATATATATACACACACATAAATATATATCGTCAGGAACAACTCGAAACTGGCAAAAGCTACCTAATCGTCGGCTCGCTTAGGTGGGCCTCCTTACATCCTTTCAGTCTTAACCGACATTTACCTACCTATTGCCACCACGCCCTCTACCCACCGGTGTAACTAACCCCCACTCCACGCTTCTTCGATATCGATCATATGGCATCCCCTTCCTTCCAAAGCCCGGTGCAACATTCTTCGATTTGTTTAGATGGAGAAGCCGGTATGGATCTTGTACCAGGTACGAGAGAAAAGCTACCATAGCGGAGATGAACCTTGGTATATATTCGGTAGGGAATCACGAGTGTCGCTGCTTTCTTCCTTTCTCCTATATTCTTTCTTATCGAGGTCTTCTGATGGAGGGGTTGGTTGATTGGCTGAAAGTCATCAAAAAGCTGATTGACACATTCTACCTTTTTGTCCTCGTCCTCGTCCTCGACGAACCCCTTTCGTAGTGTTAACCCTTCCCCCCAAATTAGGAACGGTGTACAGCGGCAGTTTACATAGGGGTCTCAACTGATGTCTCGGCTCGGCTCATTCTTCATCGACTCCAACAACATGGCAACTCGAACAAACAAAGAAATACTCCGTACATTTCTCGGTCTCTAATTACAGTCAAGGGAGCATTGTAAACTTCCAATAATGCCAGTCTCTAATAATGCCAGTCTCGCTATGACGACCTGTGACACGATAACAATCATCACAACATCGCTAGAGTCACCCAGTCCACAGCATGATGGGCCTTCCACCTCCAAGCGCCGACGGACCCAATGAATTTCATTTCCTCCAGATGGGCGCGTATCGCGACATCATCCAACGAACCACGATGCTGGTGCGTTTAGCAGAGACAGTATGTAGCCATTCGACCTGCGACTGCCGTCGAATCAAAAGACGGCATCTTGGGTACTCTCAGTTGACATTGGAGCATCCGGAACTCGTGCCCCACTGCTCTCGGCTCGTAAGTCGTGGCCCAGAGGAGTCTTTTGGCCATGTATCTTCCGACGCCCATGAACCCTCTGTTTCATTCATACTCACTCTTTCTTGCATCTACGCATTTCTTGGGTCATTTCTCTCTTGCAAACTTTCTCATTTCCATTTCCATCCGATTTTCACTCATTCACTGTCATTACTGGTGTTGTGCTGTCTGATTGTTTATAATACATCCACAATAGCGACACTTCCTATTGTTGACCACCCCGCCAAAAATAGAACGGGTCTTATTTCTTTGTTGATACAGGACAATGCTCGCTGCAAGCCTTACTAGATCTTGAATTTTCTCGAGCCCCAGGTCACCCTTTCTCTCCTTCAGCAGAAACAAATTATTACACCAGAGACAAGAGCGACCGGTCCAAATTTCTTAAATTCTTTGGGAAGCACCGCCAACGCCAGGCCATACCGAAATCTCCGCGATATATATTTCGACTGAACAGCATCTAGGTCCTCCTACGACCTCGCGGTACATTAATTGTTGATCTCTGATATGTCTACTTCCTCCACATTCAGCACGAGGCCGGCTGCCTCCAGGAAAACCCCCCCCGCAGAATACAACCACAATCCTTTCGAGCCCGTATCGGACGACAACGACGACGACGACGATGAATGGTGGAACGAAGAAGCTACCTCTGGCCTCACGCCGCCCAAAGCAAAAGAGCCAAGTTCCAAAATCCGAATCACAGAATGGCCCAAGCCGCCCACTGGTCTTGGGATGACTTTCAAGACAGAGAATCGCAGTCATAGCCGGAAACCACCAGGCAGGAGATACTCTGTACAGAAGCTGTCAAGAGACAAGTCGAAAGGACGGCAGAAAAAGCAGAATGCAAAGGCTGGGATAAAAGTTGTGACGAATTTCTCTCGGCATCAATCAGAGGAAACACCGGTACAGCTACAACCCTCTCGGACGGCGCCTCAGATGGGAGGATGCTTCGTTGATCTGGCTGCGCTGCAGGCGCTGAATGGGGGATCCTCGCAGTCGAGTGGGTTTTGGAAGACGAAGAAGAACAAGGTGCTGACCAGGGCGCCGAACATTGCGCCTTCTCTATCGGCTGTGCCGTCCTCGTCTTCAGATTTAGCAAGCCCAGTGATTCCTACTATCTCGGAGCGGCAGCGTTCAGACACGCTGGACTCGTCTCCTTCGAGAGGCAACGACGAGTTATCACCAAACGACCGCCCGATAGTTATCGGTTTATCTATAACTACCGAGGACGCCACAGGACACACCCTGAGTCCACAAACAGCAGCATCCGAAACATCGCGAATAGTCCGAAATTACGAAATCCGCACTCCCGTGAGTCGCGCACCCGATACTCCAACTATCATCATTACACCTGCAAAAGAAGCTTCTCTTTGGTCACCAACGGAGCAAGGAGTCGTCCGTCCTACTCCCAGCTTATATTCAGCCAATGATAGATATACAGCAAAAGATGCACCTCCTGTGCCGCAAATGCCTGCTTCGGTTCTCGAGGACGAGAGACAACGAGTGGCTGCTCAGAGAAGTTATTTCTCTCCGGACTCGGTCGATGTGGCCACCTGGAGCGACGAGGATGAAACCCGTAAATCTCGTGTGGTCTCGTCATGCACAGTATTTGAGGAGGATGAAAGTCCCGTCATTGCAAAGTCAGCTCGTGCGGTATCTGTGAATACCAGATCGAATTGCGAGCGCCATGCAAGTATAAGTACAGTCGCGACTCGGAGACGGTCGAGAGGATGGTGGAATTACATTACAACACCGTTTCTGACAAGATCAAACACTTTTGCGCACCGGGATACCGACACTAAGGCGCCTCCAGATCTGCCAAGCCTTGCAATCGCAGCAACGAAAGCCCAGGATCACGAAAGAAGTGGGAAGATGTGGGAGAAGCAATTCTCCCCATTGACCCCGGAGACTTCTACGTCTGATAATTCGGACCAGTGGTGGGTCACAGACCCGAAACATGGAAACCAAGCCGGTCAATCGCCGATTCTCAGAGAGACTCGGCATAAGCCGCAAACTTCTTCGGGCACTCTCCAGATGGTTCTCTCTGGGACGGTAGGCTTTGGGACGGCCATCGTGTCGAGCATTGCATCCGAAGCTGGCCAGCTGAGCCGAGAGAATACATCTGCTTCGGCTCGATCTAACTCTAGCTTTCATTCCACAACGGATAGGGTGGTACCGGTCCTGAGCGGCGCGCCTGCAAGGCCACTCCGAGGCAATAATCCATTTGTGCAGCCCTGCTTATCAGATCCCAATGAACGTTATAGTACTGTTCAGGCAGTCAACATAGGTATTGAAGCAATTAGGGCTGAACAAAGCAGGAATGGGCAACATATACAATCGCCATCTGCTGGGCCACCGCCACCATACTCTCCATCTCCTGTCCGCGTCAAGTACAAGGCGGTGTTCCCGCCAGGACATGCTCTTGGTATCCAATCTCCTACTTCTCCGGGCCCCATGAGTCCTGGGCTACAACAAGCGATGTCATCTACGGGTGCAATCCCTATGTCTGAAGTACCTCTGACCCCAGTCGGCCGTCGACCAATCAATCTGAATTCTGTATATCCAGAATTACCTATTAGACACATGGACGTGCCTGTCACGGGTGAACACTATGGACCGCCTCCTCAGATGCCAACAAAGGCAGAAGCAAGACGCAGGAGACACGAGAAGGAAGATGCGGCTGCAAGAAGAGTAGGGGGCTGGTGGAGGGGACGCGGCTGCATTCCCGACAGGGGATGCTACGGACGCACTGGACCCGAAGGCCGCAAGAGACGTCGATGGTACATCGGATTGACAGTTGGCTTTCTGGTGATGATCATCATCGTCGTGAGTCTCGCAAGTACACTACACCGAGAATCAAATACGATCGTTGAACCATCCCAATGGCTTAACCTTACCGGATTCCCGCCCATCTTCCTTGGGATGTCAACAGTTGCTGCTCCAGTCAACATCCGAACCAATACTGGATGCATATTTCCAGCTACACAATGGAGCTGTGATGTACCCAAAGAGCTGCAGGCATCAATTGCACCTAATCCCTCGAATCAGCCCAATTTCTTTCTGCATGTGCAGTGGGATAACAGCAGTTCGACTAATGCTACATTCACCAATGTCACGGGGAATCCAAATCTGGTAGATCGGCGCGCACTTTCAGGGCCTGTCTTTGCGAGACAAATCGTCAGAAGCTTTCTACTCAAATCTCGTCAGATTGTCGCATTTGCTCCGAATCCAGCACCACCTTCCTTTGCCGAGGATTTTTTTCTTGGCAACTCAACGGACGGCATCATCTCAGATGATAAAGCCGGCGAGCCAACACCGTTCTACATCTCGTTCCTCCCATCTCCTAACTCCGCACTTCAAAAGCGCTCTCTCTCCGTTCCACCGCTCTCAGCACGCCAAGCTTCGAGCCCTTCAGACCTCTTCCCAAACTTGTCGTCGATCATCCCACTTCCATCTCTAAACGCGGACAAGACGGCCGCACCAGCAAATTTGCTCCCGTTCCCAACTCAACAGCCCATCCGTCTGTATGATCGCGGTTTACCAACAGAGCATTACGGCTTCTACACGTATTTCGACCGCTCTATCTTCCTGAAGAGCCTGGATTTGCTGAACAGCAGCAACTTGGATAGTGGGGAAGTGCCCGCTGACCGAAACGGCGGCTCCACAGAGGCGGAGGCAAAGTTCAGGTGTACGTGGAGCCAGACGCGGTTCCTGGTGCAGATGTGGACGAGGATGAACGGCACCGCTCAACTGCTCAACGCTACTACTTCTCAGCCACCCTCTCACCCCTCTCCTTCAGACACGGAGAGCGCTGCTACGTGGCTCACCCAGCCCGGCTCCTTTCCCTATCCCATCACCATCACCACCGACCGCCACGGCGGCGACCCCGCCAAGAAGATGGTGTACTGCTACGGGCTGGACGATCGCTCGAATGTCATCCTGGACAGCGGGAAGCTGAATGGGGAGAATCGCGCGTTTGGCGGGCAGGCTTTTAATCCGGCGCCGAGCCTCTTTGGGGACGATGGGAGTTTGCCGGGACTAGGGGGATTTGATGGCGGAACGGGGGGTTGTAGTTGCGCTTGGAGTAATTTCGTGAGGTTGAAGAGCGGCTGAGGGTTAGGTTTGGATGGGTGGGGTGATGGTTCGCAGGTACTGAGCCGAGAAACAGGTCGAGAGGGAAAGGCGAAGAGAGAAGGGGGACGGGGGACGGGGGAAGGGGGAACGGGTATGGGGGATGGGAGATTGAATTGGATAATATGTTTTGAAGTAGTGATCAGACGTCCGGAGTATATTACTTAGGTTAATGCGTACATGAAAGGATCAGCAGACCGGCTACGTGTCGGCTTCTCATGGAGTCCATTATACAGGTAGTTTGTACAAGCAGGAGTAATCGATTTAAGGGACTTGGGTAGGTAGGCATGTAGGCTCCGGTTTTGAAAATCCGGTTGCCTGTCATTCAGAAGCGAGATCAGCTACCTACCTACCTAGGTACCTTCCATCTCTGCCGGGCCCTGGCACGCCTACAGTCGCTCGAGCTACCCAATTGATCCATTCATCTTGAAAGCGAAACTGGATTGACTTTTGACGGGTTTTCTATCGCCATGGCCATTACTATCACTATCGCTTGAGAAATGCGATTTATTGCCTGCAGTTCCCTTGCCCTGTTTATATAATATGTGTATATATATATAAATATGGAATCATTCCGTCGTGAATGTAGGATGTGATATGATATGATGGAGGATTTTCTTTCCTTTCTCTGAAACTAATCTGTTCGTGATAGATATACCGGTAGTGAGTATTGATTAGAGCGGGGGGTTGAGAGAGAGAGAGAGAGAGAGAGAGAGAGAGCCTTTGTATACGGAGGTGCAAGCCCTAAAAAGTTTGTCACCGCCTAATTCTGCCCGCCAATTTATTCGGATTCTCGGACCGGCGGGCAGAATTAGGCGGTGACAAACTCTTGGGCTTGCACCTCCGTATACTGAAGGCGTGTACGGAATACGGAGATAGTTTCTTGGCGGAATTATCTTTCTCCTTCTTCCTTGGGGGAAATGTGAGTGATTAGGTTGCTTGGCTGCGGTGCAGCAGGTTGATGATTTCCGCTTGCTTTTTTTTACGTAAGGCGGCTTGATTTGGATTGGCTCAATCTGGTCTGTTGCTGTCACTTTTTCTGTTTCTGTTTTTTTGCTTTTTGGTTTGTTTTTTGCTTTTTGCTTTTTGTTTTGTTTTTGTTGTTTTTTTTGTCTTGGTTTGTTTTGTTTCACCCTGTCATGCCGTAATCAGTCATCGATCGGCCTTTAGATTTTCCGTCTGACCCTTGTAAACACCGGCAAGTCAAGCTCGGACCAGCAGAGCTAGCCTTTATTGTAGCTCTATGAAGCTTAGAGAGCCCTCCTGGATCGACTTAAGTGTGAGTATTGCTGCTCATCAAGACTTGCACACACGAACGAGCACGACCGATGATCTGTATTCTTCTTTGAATTTCTCTCAAACATATGGACGCATTGCCTTTGAGAGATAGTGCCCAGCATTAGCAAGCAAAGGGGAAGTTTGAAGAAGGGAATAAACCAAGGAGAGAAGAACCAGAACCCAGTAACCATGCCATCGGTAGCAGAACAACCTCTCGCGGTCTCCCTCTCGCCTGCCAGCATCCACAAGAAACGAAGGAGAGAGGATGGCGTTGGTGGCATCGGAGCTGGAGCTGGAAATACAAGCAGCAAGAAGGAGCATGAGGCGCCGATGAGGTTCTCGTGTGTATACCCCTTTCCTCCCCCCTGCCCCCTCCCCCAAGCTGAGGCTCACTAACAAGTTCATAGTGACATGCACAACCGCAGCCCTTACGACCATCGCGGCTCTTACGAACCCTACGTCTCGGAACTCAGTAGAGACAGCCAGCGGACTCTGCTTACCCCTAAAAGCAGCAGGAAATTTCAGCCGCAGCATAATGTTAAGAGGCAGCGGATCGGACTTCCAGATGCTAGTGGCTGCATTGTGTCTAGGAAGGACATGCTTTTGGCTTTTGATCAAACCGCCGCTCACGCCGATTCAGTGGTGCAGAAGCTGGGGATGAAAGCCTCAGGAGGGAGTGGAAGTGTGCAAGGGACTTCAAAGGTTGATCTGAGGCCCTGCCATGTCTGCCGCCGTAAACCGACCGTCAAGGCTGAGCTGGAGGCGTTTGGCGACTGTGAGAGCTGCGGAGAGAGAACGTGTTATATCTGTACGAGGAGATGTGAGGGGCCCGGGATTGGGACTAGGCTTGGGTTTGGTGTTGCTGTTGCTGTTGATAGAGGGAAGATGGGAGATGATCACATGGTGATGCAGGATGGTAGTTTCGGGTACGGTGAGAAGGATAAGCGCGGAGGTGAGGATCTGGATGCGATAGAAGGGAATAAGGGAGGTATGACAGTGCCGCACAAGGATCAGATTTGCAGTGGGTGTTGTTTGGAGAGGGGGCCGGAGGGGGAGGTATGGTGTTTGGGTTGCTTGAGAGCAGAGGGGGGGAGGGGTTGAAGTGAAGTGAAGCGCAGTGGAGGTTGCAAACCAAAGGACACCTTGGGGATGGGCTTTGGTATTTATTGGTTATGGATACGGAACTTCAACAGGTACAAAAACTACATTATCGAAGTTGGAGGCGGCAATGACATTGGCACTACCATCTGCCACAGAATACATGCTGTTGTGCGGAACAGCCATAGTCTAAAGCATGCCTCAGGATCCACCCAAGCTGGTTGGGTGGGGCAGCTATGTATGCCTGAGGCTTCATCCAGGTCTTGGCTCACATGACCTCGCCCAAATGGCGCACTGCCGCACCAAGGGATATATATATTTGTATCGTCAGTCCCTTCGATAGAATTCAAAAAGCTCTATTCAATCTACGGAATCCCCTCCTACCTCGGTGAACCATTTGCACCATACATGCCAATACTGTAATTTTGATCTTTTGGTAGAGGAGTTATTCAAAGATCTCGGGATGTGTCTAGTATGACTCCGGAAAGGCAGGTTTCCCGGAAGCAATGCCTACTGAACTCTAACTCTAACTTCCACAGAACGAACGGCGGCTGAGACCCCCCCTGGCTCATGGTCAAACGCATCTGCACTGGCAGTGGAGGAGATATAGGGATATGCATAGGTACGCTGCCTATCCGTCAAGCTAATGGTTGGCAGCGCTCTCCACCGCTCTCATCTCCTCTCGTCCCTTTCCGCCATTTTCAGCTCTATTCAGTCTATCTTCTACATTTTATAGGCTTTTCTACCTTCCTCTTGGGTTGCTGTTGCTATCGCTCAAGTCCTCTTCTGTCATCAATGATAGCGTGGTCACTGACTAGCGACATGTACATACTTACTTTGCAAGCTTTCTATTGCGCAGTATCGTATCTCGGACTTAGGCCTCGCATGCAGCCCGGTGGAGAAGCTGGGTAGTGTTATTCAAGGAGTCGATCTCGCTAAAGAGGAAGTCGAAATCCATAGAACGGAATACATACAAAACTGTGAACTTTCCACGGCTTTGTGATTCAGGATAGAAGAGCCACTTCGTGCTGTATTTCACACTAGAGAGAGAGAGAGAGAGAGAGAGAGAGAGAAGGTCGATGGCCATCCGAGTCCAGGCAGCAGAGTCTCACTGCCGTATATCATACAATGTATCTCTTACCTTGATTCTAGCAATAGAAGGAGCTAGATATTTTATTTTATTTCTCGGAATCCCAGATAACTATAGCTTTTTCATCTCGTAGAAGGAAGTACACAGAAATGAAAATACCAGAAATAATAGAGGTACTTTTTTTTCTTTTTTTTTTTCGAAAATTACTGACAGCCATGGAGGTGACTTCTCAAGCTGCCGTTGTCGGGCCGATGCGACAACATCAATAAATCCTCGCTTACGCCGGCCGTCGACAGCCGCCGCTATCATAGCATACAGCCTCCCAAACCCAAACACAGATAAGGAAAGGAAACTTTTAATAATCTTACGGAAATCGCTACGGGGGAAAATAAAACGAATAAAAAGAGACAATGAGTTCGCTGGCGAGGCCGGGGCCTTTTCTATACGAGAGAAAACAAGCTCGCAGACGATCGGGGACGGTGCTACATCTTTCGACCAGTCTACATACTTGATGGCATGAGGCCATCAGGTCCCCTAGGAGCACGTGCGCGCTAGGGAGGTACATTGACTTCTCTTACCAAGGAGAACTTAGAAATATCATCCTCTTTATACAACGCGTTCCCTCCCTCCACTTAAAAGTGGTGATACACGCAAGGACCGAACATGCAGCCTCTTTAATTCGCAATCAAGCAATAATTAAAACAATACAAGCAGATACCAACAATACTAACAATACTAAACAGCAATAATAGCACTACCAGCCAATCAACCCTACGAAAACACTTCTTAATCCTTAACCACCACTACTAAGAACTTATAATAATACAGCTAATCAACCGCTTAACACCAACTACTATTATTCAAAACCTATAGCCCACAACTTACAACTCAAACCTACGATAAGATCAACTTATGAACCATACTTAAACCCGTCAACTGCTTACCGAAACCACTTTAAATCCTAGAAAGACATACTTTCACTTATATACCACTTCTCTACTGCCTCAATCATTTCGAAGGCTAAGCGAAACTCACTTTTTAAAGAAAAACTCCGATCACGAATATACTTATGGGTAACAAGGTCCGTAACATTACTAACGGCATAATGAGATACAACTAGCTTATCAAGATCACCTTCCTAAGATCCACCTACTACCTTACACGATAAGCAAATTATTCAGTTCATATTTAACACAAAAATCAAAGTTTACGACCCCGATTCCACAATATAAACCGGACTCGGATAAGGCCTTAAACCACCCTACCAACCGCAAACCCCTTACCTCACTCTTTCCTTTAAGACTACTCCTATATCACCTAAGGCAATAAAAAGGATATCCAACTCTAAGATGCTTCGATTCGATAGATGTAAGAATTACGACGGCGAAATGCTAGCCGAACTTAAGCTAGACAAGCTTGACTATGACTTCAAAGTTGACGGCTTAGACAACCCTTCACTTTTAATACACCTTAGAGCTATCTCGATCCTGTTACCCGGTAAGGCAGGCAGGAAATTCAGATCTAATGTAAGAATGAAATATATAATTGCCAACCGGACCACAGCTGTAGACAAAGAGAAGTTCGAAGTGATAGAGTAGCTGAAGACGCAGTTCCCTAACGACGAAGAACTCATAGAGGAGCAAGACGCTGTGTAAGCAAGCAAGCAAGCTAGCAAGTAATAAAGAGAGCGATGAGGAGAGAGAAAGATAGTAGCCGATCGACAACGAGACTTTTCAGCAAGAAGAGTGTTGATTTGTTTATAGCTGGCATCTATGCTCTTATCCTCGACAGTAGAATCAATTTTCATTCCCTCGAGGCAACCGTGGAATGGACGTTTTGAGGAGTTCGCGGCACTTGAGGATTGCTTTCGACCACACCCGTCGAGGGGCAAATGAGTGAACCCGTCGAGGACGGAAGACATGAGCGTTGTAGGTGTTGTAGCGGCTGATGATCGTCGTAGTATTCTGGCGAAATCTGCCTTGTATATCGAATCTTGTCGTGCGGTATAAGGTTATAATACTAGAAACTGCAATGCGCATTGCAGGTCTGCTTCTGCATAACAAATCTAAATATAGAGAAAGACCTTGATCGATACTCTAATTCTGCGTAATCCACCTCCTCTATGAGTGAATAGCTGCCGAAAAGCTAGCTGCTAGTCCTGGGGACGAGAAATGTTCATAAGGATAGGCTTCAGAACTCCTTTAGAAATATCTGCTCACCCTCTTTGAAATCATGATAATGCAACGAGTGAACTTCTCTAGCTCTAGTTAATGTACGTTCACAAGTGCGCATGTGACCGCTGCTACCTTGCTGCTTGAACAAACAAACGGCTGCTTGTGAGAGCTGAAGATAATTAATATCAAATAAAACAATTGAAGAAGCATACTCATACATAGCGATGCATATGCTCACCTCGCGAGCAGTAAAGCCCATACCCAGTCCAACATAACAATACACAGCCATAATTCTGGCTCAGATGCGGAACAAACTTCGCTCACTCAAGATCCCAGCCCGACTTCGTGGAGCACATCTACTCGGTCTCATCTTCATCTACCGGGGCCTTCTCAACTGCTGTGGCCTTCGCCTTCGGTGGTCGTCCCCGTCCGCGCTTCGTCCCGTCGGGATTTAATACCGGCTTCTTGGGCGGCTTCGGTCCCCCAGCCTTAGGAGGTCTGCCGCGCCCACGCTTCACAGGGGGGTCCGCCGCCGCTGGAGCTGCAGCCACACCGTCTTCCTCCTCCTCCTCCTCCTCCTCCTCCTCCTCTCCGTCCCTCTTCCGCTTGCTAGCCTTCGGCGTGACAGTAGAAGCAGAAGCGGGCGACTTCCCTCCCTTCTTGTCCCCCTTGGTATTTTTCGGCGTAGATGCAGCAGACGCCTTCTCTTTCTTCTTGTCCTCCTTGGCCTTGTTCTTCGCCTCTTCCTTCTCCTTCTTCGCGTCTCCTCTCGCCCGAGTCACCTCCTCAGCCCTACCCTCCACCTCCTCAACCAGATACCATCTGCGGTCCGGCCCGCCGAGAAACGCAGGCTTGGGCTCGGTCTTCATATTCAGGCCCTCGAGGTCGTCCTCCTTCAGCTTGAAGCGGGACTTGATATCCGTGATGCCGATGATGGAGGCGTCGCGGCACTCGGAGCATTGCGACGCGTTGGTGAAGGGGTTGGTGCGGAGCTTGACGTTGGCCGTTGAGCAGCTCGCGCAGGTGCCTGATTTAAGGGGAGGCATTTTGATGAGCTGATGTTGCTCGCGGCACCAGTGGATTTAATAGTTGTTATTATTGTTGTTATTGTTGTTGTTGTTATGTAGGTCTTAGGGATGGGGAATGGAATGGGTTGTGTTTATATGACGCGCTCTGTTAGACGCGACGGGGATTGGTCGACATGACTAAGCTTTCGCCACCCCCTTTTTACGCGAGTTTTTGTGCTATGGATACGACGTTGAGGAAGGAGTGGAACAGAAGAGATAGCTGGTAACTCTCGCTTTGAAACCTCCCCTGCCAGCTCGCCATAAGTTTCGCTGCCCTTTATAGGACAGGACGTCTTTAAGAAGAGTCGACCAAGGCTGCTAGAAGCGAGAGAAGTAAGGCAAGTAAACAATGTAGATTGACGAAAATGCGCTCTTCCACGGATTTTGTTTTCAAGCAAATGCAACTTTGCGAACGGGGTGGAATGTAAGGGCATTTTTAGAGGAGCCGGATGGATGATAGCCACTAGCTGAAATGATCAGCTGGTTCTCCGCTCCTTTCAGAAATTGTCTTAGATAGACTGCGGAGGAGAAGCTCGCAACCGAGGACCCAATGTCGACAACCTCCTCATCATTGGCCAACTCTTATCTCACTCACTATTCAATCCGACATTCCTACAGTCCAATCTCCCAGCCTTCGAAAAGCAAAGCAAAGCAAAGCAAAACCGGCATCCTACTCACATCTTAATCAATACTCCTAAACCACCCACTATGTGCTCAATCAACCCATGAATGCCTTCTCCTGTCACCCTAGCGATACAAAGGGACTGGAAATATCTAAAAGAGTATTTAGTCTACGGCAGACACATTCGTCCACCTTACCTAAAATGCATATCTCTTCAGGCTAGCTAGCAGGACTGTGGTCAGCACGTGGTTCTCTCTCTCTCTCCGTAACCGGCCGCGAGTTGGACGAAAGGGCGGGAATTTAACGCACGCATGTGTGGGGAGGGATCTCCGTATGTATATATGCGTGGGGGCGAGCATTTGTGTGGTGAGAGGTAAGAAGGGAGAGGTTAGCAGTGAGAGCTCAGAAGTGAGAGCTCAGAAGTGACAGATCAGAAGTGACAGATCAGAAGTGAGAGATTATAAGTGAAAGAACTCAAGGACATAACCATTACCAGTCCCGAACAAAGAGATAAAGAAGGGCCGTATGAAGTATTTGAATTCAATTCAGCAGCGCTCCATCCGTTGGCCAAACTTGCCGAATTCCAGCAATAGTAACAGCAGTACAGTACTAACGATGTTACGATGCATAAAGGCCTTTTCCGCACCAAAACTAAGAATCAAAATTGGGGGGAAAAAAAAACATAATAGAAAGAGTTTACTAATCCCACCTTCGGGGAAGTAGTCCACTTGAACTATGAAGCTTAAATCTGCTTATATATTAGAACTAGATGCATAAGATAGGAGCTGAAATCGCCCCCCTTTTTAAAAGCTCTCCTAGCCTTTCCAAAATTTGCGAAGTTAATAGTCATTGCGCTGACTTGGACCTGCGGGCTCTTAGTAACAATCAGGACAAGCAAGTATCCTAGGTCAAGCAAGTTTCCTACCGGTACTTCAAATGGTCAGAGCACCGAAAATACCAGCATTCTATACACAAAAAAAGATGCGTAACGCAACGTATTTTGACAACTAATCGTCGGCTCAGTCTTAAAGGATGAAAGGAGGCCCACCTAAGCGAGCCGACGATTATCATATCTAAGCAAAATTCGGTATTCCTTCGAATAAGATTAATTGACTTTACATTTGACTTTATATCCGAGCTTTCTTATAGACCACTGTTAATCAAACTCGATTCGCGGAATTCGTTATTATTCGGCTCTTCTACTTGCGAATTACTAATCTCAATCAAGAGATTAAACTTAAGAAAATCGATATGGTCATTCGTTTCTTTTTTAATTAAACTTTTGATCGTTAGACTATATACTACGTAAAATAGTTGAAAGTAACTTTTGCGCGTTAAGCGATCGTTTTTCGATCGCAATAAATGCTTTATTAAGTTCTCGATTTGAGATTGAATTTTTGAACGCAAGCAAGCTAGTAGTAGTATTACGTCGCAGGCGTAATCATTATACTTTTGAGGATTGAGTAATCACGGAGCTTAAAGTGAGAATTAAATTTTTGAAGCACCCTCAAGGGTGTAATACTACGTAATTCGGAGGAGGTGGGGGGAGGTGGGGGGGGGAGGGGATGGTAATTTTTGCTATTACCACGGTACAGGGCTAAAGTATTACCCCTCGAGGGTGCCTCAAAAGTCTAGTTTCCACTTTAAAACCCCTGCTTACCCTACCCTCGAGGGGTAATACTTACGCCTGGGACGTAGTATAAGCCGAACTCGTTTTTTTTTCAAACTGTATTATCTTTTCGAATAATTGTACCTTGCATTTTCCAGAGCTTTTTAGATTTCTTAATAGCCGCTTAAAGCGTTTTCTTAGCCTTTCGTAGCGCCGCCACCTTCCTTGCTTCCGTGCGAATTTAAATTCCTTCTTTTAAATCACTAATCGCAGCAAAAGAACCTCCGTGGCAATACTTTTTCGCGATGTCTTTTTGCGTTTCCTACTCTTTCTAATCTTTTGCTAAAGGTTGAGTGAGGTGTTCTCTCGAAATGAGGTGTGCTTTTTAAAGTTCGATAGAAGCTTGCTCTGTTATAGTTTAAAAAAAGAATTGCTTCGTAAAATGAGTTGTTATGAGGTTGCGCTTCTTCTTTTTAGCTCGATATACGTAATACAGCCTTCCGTGAAGCAGGTTCTTTGGCTTCGAAGATACGTGCTAACGTAAAAGCAGATTCATTTTCCGGTCGTTGCTTTTCTCCGTCATCGGTTTCTATCTCTTTTAAAACCTAATCGCGCGCTTTTTGAAAGGCGCGGTCATACCTTTTTTTCATAGTATAGCGGCCGTAATAATTAAAAATTGCAAGAGCTTTAGAAGTGCTTTGCTTGACCTGGGACACTTGCTTGTCTTGACTGTTACCGAGAGCCCGCAGGTGAAAGTCAGCGCACTGATTATCAACTTCACATCTTGAGTGGAAGTGTCGGTATCACAGGTACCGAATAAGAAGTACGAATATATAGTGGTACCAATTGTATTCGTGAAGTCTGAGGTTCTAGTACAAAGCTCTGAAGGAGCCTTATACTCTAGTGCCAAGGCCGGCTACCTAGCGTAGCCACGTAACCACGTGACCTACATTCCCACATTAGCAATTTTTACTTTTCCTTTTACGGGCATCGTCCCGTCTCGCTGATCCATGTCCAAGCAAAGCTTGAAAACATCACTTTTGTATACAAATACAGTATTAATCTTATGCTTGTCTTTATCCATCGAGCATTTCACCATTCTCCATCATCGTATCCATCGTCGTAGTCGCTTTCGTAGTCTTCTTCGTAGTCTTCTTCGTCCTCGTTCTGATCTTCGGAATTGTCTTCGAATTCCTCTCGTAACTCTTCGATTTGCTCTGCGTAGCCAATCTGCTCTTCTGTTTCGTAGTCGTAATCGTATTGAGGTTGTTGAGCTTGTTGAGCTTGTTGAGCTTGTTGAGCTTGTTGGAAACGAGGTGAAGAAAATCGAGGTACGGAAGGTCGAGGTGAGGGAAGCCAATCGTCATCATCGTCAGGTTGGTAAGTGTATCGAGGTTGATTCGGAAAGGAGCGCGGAGCTTGAGATTGTGTGTATTAAGGCCGAGTCGAGAAGGTCCGAAGAGCTTGAGGTTGCTGAATTGGGAAGTTCTATAACGAAGCTCGAGATTGCAAAGCTAAAGCGGGAAATAGATCTCTAACTTGAATGTAGCGCTGAGTATCGATATTTCGAAGGTGTAAAAGCAAGTCTTGCTGAATTAGCTAAAAGCTATGTTAAGGTCGGTTTTCGTATCGATTTAGAGAAGCTAAGTATTCTTGAATTTCTTGAGCTTGGGATTGAATGTATCGAGGCCGAGTGCGCTGGCGTAGCTCTTGTATCCGAGTTTAGAAGGTACGCAAAAAGAAGGATCGCTAAACTAGCTGAACAATTAGCTGAGGAATTGGCTGAATAGCTAGCTGAATTGCAATTGGCTGAAGGATTGGCTGAATAGCTGGCTGAATTGCAATTGGCTAAGGGATTAGTAGTGGTTGCTTTGCAATAAGCTCGAAGCGCTCAGATTCGAGGTCGTCCGTCCAAACGTAAGGTGTTGTTTCTTCGAAGCAAGCTTGTAGCACGTAGCTATACGAAGTTCTTTTGATAGGTTGAACCCAAACCTCTCGAAGTACTAGCGATTCGCGGAGGTCTCGAGTTACTCGGCGATCTCCGAGCTTCCAAATTGTTTTTGTAAACCCTTTAAAGTCTTCTCTAAAGTATTCCTACATTTGTTTGCCTTTGTGTATTGCTTTTCGATAGCGCACGAGATTGAGAAAGATGTAGCCGTTGACGATAAGAGTTGTTAAGTGATTTGGATTTGTAATTTCGAAGTTTTCTATCTATCTTTCCACTTTGTATTGAACCGTTAGCATATCCATCTTATTCGAGTGAGAAGGTGAGTGCTGAAAAGGTGAGAGAGTAAAAATTCGAAGTGCTCAATGAAGAGGTCGAAAAATTGACTTAGCGCAAAGAAGGAGGTTCGCGCTAAGGTAAAGGTGAAAGCGTGTTTGTTGTATTGCGTGATGGACGCAGGTTATTTCTTGACAAAACAAGCTCGAAAGTCGAAGACTGTACTTAGTTTGACAATAAGCTTGTACTTAGAAAAAGAGAGCGAAAGCTATGCTCAGATTGCTCTTATTCTCGAAGGTCAGTTGCGCGCGTGCCGGCGAAAAAACTTTTTGAATATCCGAAAAGAAAGCGAAAGCTATACTCAAGTTGCCGTTTTATCGATATTCTTTAGCATCTCTCTGCAAAACGAAGACTATACTCAGTTTGTTTTTGCAGATCGATCTCTTCTATAAGGACCTTGTTGTTCTACGATCAATTGTGAGATTGACTATTGATCAATATCGGTATCATAAGTACCGAATGAGAAGTACGAATATATGGTGGTACCAATTGTATTCGTGAAGTCTGAGGTTCTAATACAAAGCTCTGAAGGAGCCTTATACTCTAGTGCCAAGGCCGGCTACCTAGCGTAGCCACGTAACCACGTGACCTACATTCCCACAGGAAGCCAAATTTCTACTGTAAACTTTCTGCTTTAACTAACTCAATTAATTTAACAATATCCAATAGAATAAGATGGTTTTATGGTTACGAGCTATTCTTATTTTACAAAAGGTTTTTTATTTTTTCAATCATCTTTCAAAGCTCAGAGCTTGTATGGCTCGCAGATGCAAGCCAAGTTGCGCGTCAAGATGCAAGAATTAAAAAATCTGTATGGCTTATGCACGTAAATCTTATAAAGTGTGCATCTAACCTTGCAACTTGTAATTGCGTTATACAAATCGAAGTTGCAGCAAAAAGCTCCAACTTCCAAGTTGCGAGCTCAAGTTGCAAGCTATTCACCCGCCTCCCCTTTCCTTTCCGCTTATTCTGGTCACCTGTTCATCCTTCTACCACGCTATCTTTTTGCAATAGCTTCTTCAAAAGATATTTTGAAACGGCGGAATCTGCGCAATCGCAATATCGGTATTAGTATCGCTGCGATACGAGCATGCGCCGCTGCTTAATACTATAAAAAACAACTTCGCAGAACCACCTCAGCAAATTGCTATCCAATTTGCTATTCGCGAGCTATACAGGCCTTGGAACGTGCAACTTCCACTATCAAATTGAGTTGATCCTGTTTAGGATTAAGTCAACGGCCTAGTTGCACGGACATGCAACTGCGAGCCATACACACCTTTCCAATTTCACAAGCTCTCAAATAAACAGGTTTTGGAGCGAGTTGCGCGTTTATGCATTGTTCGTCCTAGGTCCCACTGTAGTAATACAATAACAATCATAATAAAAACAAGGAAATCCAATGCGTAATCCCTTCTCATCTGAAGATGAACATATGTGAGTATGTAATTGTATGTAAACTCCTTCGGGAATCATTAGACAAGGACCTAGACCTAGTGTCTTTTATATCGTTCTATATATATAGCCTGGACACAGGGCACTAACTGGTAAGTACACGGACAGCCAGCCGTTCCTGGAATTCAAAACGCTTAGCAGAGGCTCATCTCAGCTAGTAAGTGCAAGTGCCGCAGAGGGGAGAAAAGGGGGGGGTGTTCGAGAGTTCATAGGGGGGTTTTTCTTTCTTTCTTTGGTTGTAAGGAAGGAGAACGGAGAAGAAGAAGAAGAAGAGAGCCGAGCAAGGTAATAATGACATGCAAAGAAGAATCAATCAAAGTGACGTTAAAAAAAATCAATTGCTTCCCCCCCTTCACGTAAACACAAATCCCAGCAACATAAACGCAACTACAACAAACAGATAAACACGTCCCCTGAACCCTCCCCTCTCATTCCAGCTACGTACGTACACACTCAACATACTCATACAGTACTCACACCCCAGATATCAAACTCAAACTCATCCAAACCCAAATCCAAAAGCGAACCTAAAAGCGAACCTGAAGTCTTAATCAGACGACTTCCTTACTCTGTACAGTATAGGTATTGATTGATGGTGGGAAACGAACACTCTCGGAAAACTCTCGGAAAACTCTCTTAAGAAACATATTTACATATAGATAAGACTAACTAATATACATACAAATAAATGACCCGTAGCTATCGAGGATGTCACCGGTAAGCAAATCGGTAATCAGATCAGATCAGATCAGATCAGATCAGATCAGATCAGATCATCGCAGGGACAGAACAGAAACTTACTTATTTATTTACTCACTCACTCACCTAGCTGTCCGGCTGCATTATTATTATTACCATTTTCATCATCATCATCAGCAGCAGCATAGCCCAGCGGACCGACCGACCGCAGAAGACAAACGGGTGAAGAAGGAAGATATCTATCTATCTACCTACCAACCTCTCTCTCTATCTGCCCATCTCTCTGCTATCTGTATCACGCGTTCTATTAAATTTGTTAAGTGCATACATATACACACTCACTTCCGGTACAAAGACAAACACAAACACAAACACAAACATCTCCCCTCTCCCTTCTTTCCCCCTCACCCTTACATCCATCCATCCATCCATCCATCTATCCATCAAAAGAAAGTACCCGCCAAAGTACCAGGCCAAAGTACCAGCCAAAAGCCAAGCCAAAGGCAAAAAACAAAGCAAAGAAAAAGAGAGAAAAGAAAAACGAAGAAGAAAGCAAGACGAAAAAAATCAGATCAGCTACGATACGATACTCACACACGCAGATACATACACACGCAGATACACACGCACGCCCGCACGCCAAAAAAAAAAAAAAAAAAAAACCACTACGCATGAGTGCTGATTTGCAGCGCCTCACATTATATCGTATCGTATCATCTCATATCGCAGCGCATCATGTTATCTCATCACTTTACAGTATCTATTTATTTATTTACCTTATTTACCTACCTAGCAATTTCCCGATTCTCGCTTCTCGCTTCCCGATTATCGCTTCCCGATTCTCGTCCTCGCCCAGCCCATCCCAGCCCAGCCCATCCCAGCCCATCCCCGACCCCCAGCCTCATCTCGCCTCACCTCCATCAACCTCACCTCCCTACTGCTTCTTTCGCACAGTACACAGTACACACTACCTACCTAGATCATCGAACTACTTGTACTTGTACTTGTACTGCCATTCTCCCCCCCCCACCCCCCTCCAATCCTCCCCCTCCAATCCTCCTCCCCATCCACCCCCCCCCTCCCCCCTCCCTTTCCTTTCCTCCCGCCATCGCAGCGCATCGCAGTGCAGTGCAGATCTCAGCTTATACTACCTATACCACGTCCACGATTTCTTTCACGACAGGTGTGCAGGCGGCGGCAGTGCGTGCGGAGCTTGTTCGTTGGCGTTGGGGGCGGGAGTTTTGCGCGTTGGGTGGAGGGGAGGGGGGTGGAAGAGGGGGGAGGGGGGGGGAGGAGGAGATGAGAGGGGGGGGGGTGGGGGGGGAGAGAGGAGGGAGGGGGGAGGAGGAGGGAGGAGGGGGGGAGGGGGGAGAGGTGGGAGAGGAGAGGGAGGAGAGGGAGGAGGG